GCCCCGGCTACGCACACTCGTCGCGGGCCTTCATGCGGGCGATGAAGGAGTAGCTCTTGTTGCGGCGGTAGTTCTCGTAGGGGTCATCCAGCGCCACGCCCACGCCCTTGTACTGGTCCCACTTGTCCCGCACGTCCCCGCCCTTGATGGGGTCCTGGATGCCCTGCTCCTTGGCCCCCAGGCCGCCAGATCCACTCCAGCCTGAGGGGGGAGGTGCGGGGCGGTCAGCGCGGGGCGGTCGGCTTGGCGGAGGCTGGGCAGTCACGGGCCCCGCGCGAGGCGCACGCACCCCAGCTGGCTGCGGCCGGGCCGGGCCGGGCGCGGCCACTTACCCATCTTCACCAGCATCTGATGCCCCTTGTTCTCTTCCCCTAGCCTCGAGTCAGGTATGGGAGGCGCCGAATTCGAACCCAGGCCAGCAGAGGAGCTGCAGCGGGGCAGTTTGGCTGGCTGAGGGGGGCTCGCCACCTGGAGCCCCCTCCTCCCCCCACTGCAGCACACACAGTGCGCCCCCAAGGTGGCTGGACTCTGCAGAGGCGCCTTGCACCCCGGGAAAGGGGGTGGCGGGTGCTTCCCACAGGCCCGCGCAAGACTTACGGCGGGGTGGGGCTTCTGGAGCGGGAGCGGCGCCGCCGGCCTGGAGAGTAGGACTTGGAGCGGGAGCGGGAGCGGGAGCGGGAGCGGCTTCTGGAGGAGCGGGACCTGCTCCGGCTCCTGCGGGGCGGGTGAGCGGTCACCGCTGAGCGATGGGGGCAGTGGTCGGCGCCCCCAGGCAGGGTGAGCCGGGGTGGGGGCGGGGTAGGACGGTGGTGAGGGGTCAGCCCCCTCGGCGGGGCGGGGCTCGTACCTGGAGCGGGAGCGGGAGTAGGACCGCGAGCAGGAGCGGGAGCGCGAGCGGGAGTAGGAGCCGGAGGACTTGGAGGACCTGGAGTGCGAGCGTGAGGACGAGCGCCCGCGGCTCTTGGAGCGGCTGCGGGAGCGCGAGGGGCCGCTGCGGGAGAGACGGCAGTGAGCGCGGGGCGTCCAGGGCAGCGTGGGGGCGCGGGCCGGGCGCGGGGCTCACCTGTTCCTCTTCTCCTGGCCTTTCCGCCGCCGCGCGCGCATCTTGGCGCGGAAGAACTCGTACAGGCCGTTCTGCTCCCAGCCTTCGCTGCGGGGCGGGACGCGGCGTTAGCAGAGGGGACGGAGGGGACACGGGGACACGGGGGGGGGGGGGCGGGCACGCGTACCTGTTCCGCGGGCGGTCGTGGGAGGGCGGGCTGTAGAAGGCCTCCACGGCGGCCAGCAGGCGCTCGCTGGGCGGCATGGGTGGCGGCAGGCGGATGTCCTTGGGGTCCAGGGGCTTGTACTCGTGGTCCTCGAGCTGCGGGGACACAGCGCTGCCTGCACCGCCCGGCCCCAGCCTCCCCCGCGGCCACCCGCCCCGCGCCAGGCCCCACCGCACTCACCTTCACCAGGGGCGCCATCAGCCCGGCGGGGAGGTCGAAGTAGGGCACGTTGGGGACCAGGCTGGGGTCGTCGTGGTTGACGTGGGGGGGGCCCTGCCGCCGCAGGTGTGGGGGCTGCCCGTTGAAGCCGTGGGGGGGGGGCCCGAAGTCGGGGTGCTGGGGCCCGGCCCAGGGCGGGTGCTCGTTGATTCCGGGGTGGGGCATGCGGTGGCTGGGGTGGTGGTGCGGGGGCCCCATTTCTGCTGAGAAGCAAGGGTTGCGCTGGGGGGGGTTGGCGTGGGGGAGCAGGGCGTGGGGCGGCCGAGGGCAGGGCATGCGCTCACCTGCGGGGAAGTCCCCCTGCGGGTAGTCGAAGCGGTGCGGGTAGGGCGGCCGCTCGAAGGGGTGGCGCGGGGGGAAGTCGTCCTGCATGAAGCGCGGCGGGAAGCGGTTGAAGTTGTGGGGGTGCGGCGGCTGGCTGAAGGGCGGGTGCTGCTGGTGCGGGGGGAAGGGCCCGCGGAAGTGGGGCGGCCGCTGCATGCGGAAGGGGGGCTCCCGCTGGCCCCCGCCCCAGGGCGGCTGCTCGTGCTGCCCGCTCCAGGGGCCCTCGAACGGGCCGCTCCAGTTGGGGTCCGGCTGGCTGTTCCAGGGTGCGTCACGCTGGCCGCTCCAGCCGGGGTCCCCGCGCTGCTCGCCCCACATGCCCTCGTGGCCGCTGCTCCACGGCGGGCAGTGCGGCGGCCCGCCCTGGTGGTGCGGGAAGGGCGGCTGCTCCGGAGGCTGCACAGACACGGCGGGCGTCAGAGCTGGGGCCGCGGGGGTGTGGGACCCACGGGCATGCCAGCGGGGGGGGGGGGGTGTACTGGAGGGGGGCATCCTGACAACACCGGCCCACCCACATCCACACGTCTGCGGCTACTGGGATCAGCTCTAACCCGGCCTCAGTCCCCTGTGGCTGGGCCCCCCCAGGTCTGTTCTGGCGACCCCGTGCGAGCCTCGGTCTCCTCCCAACCCCAAACATGGGCGTGGTGACAGCGCAGTGCTGGGGGCCTCTCAGGCCGCAGCCAAGGGGACAAGGACCTGCACCTTGCTCCAGGGACACACAGCCCAGCCCCACAGCACGAGCCAGCTCTGGTCCCGAAGACGGGGTGCGCTGAGTGGGGCGCATCTGCAGCCCCACAGCTGGGCTGTCTAGAGCCCCTTCTGGCTGCACCCCACAAGCTGCAGGGGATGTGAACCCCGAGGACGGGATGGTTGTGCAGTTGCCCCCACAAGAATGTGAGTGGCAGCCTTGGGCCCTGGTCTGGCCAGAGCGGCCCCTGCCCGGCCCCCAGGGTGCGGTGTCTGGGGCTCAATGTCCCGCTCCCCACCTCCCCCCTCCGCCTCAGTACCTGCTGCTGGCCCCACGGAGCCACGGGGTGCGGCTGGTCAAACCACGGAGGCTTGTTGGGCGGGATCTGCTCGTGGGGCCCAGGGCCCCGCGGCCCCCCAGCCCCGGGGTCTGGCACCCCTCCCGCGGCGTCGTACTCGGACGAGCCTGGCATCTGGATGGGAGGCTTGTCATCTAAACAGGGAGGGGCTGTCAGGGGCGAGCGGCCAGCGCCAGGGGCAGGACGGAAGCCAGCGGGCCGCACAGCACGGCACGGCACAGCAACTGTGGCCAGGCCTCCGCCGGCCGCCCTCGCCCCTGCCTCCCCTGCCCCTCCAGAGGAGCACGGGCGCCCCTCCCTCCCCACCCCAGACAGCCTGCCGCGCTGCAGGCCACCCCCGCCTGCCTCTCAGCGGGCCAGGCTCGGCCCAGGCATTGCTCTGTTTTCTAACGTTAAGATGAGGGAACCAGTGAGGGCGCATCCCGTGGCAAGTGTAAAACCCGGCGCGGCGCGGCCATCCCACGGCCAAAACGCGGGGCCACAGGCATTGCCAAGTTGGTTCCCTGATTCTGGAATATTTACAAGAGTTTGCGGCACCCCCCCCCCCATGTGAAAATTCCTCCTTCAAACTCACATGTTCTGTTAGCGCCGGAAGCGGCATGCTTCAGGACACTTTGGCTCTCAAGTTTGCGGATTGGGAACATCAGAACATCAAAGCTGTACGCTGCTAGACTGGACTTCTCACTGGGTAGCCCCACCTGGCCTTCAACTTGCAACCTTCCCACCTCTGCCTTGGGAAGGCAAGGACTGCTGCCCGTTTCAGGTCTTACACGCTATTCCCATAACTGAGCATGCACGCACGCCTGCGTGACTGCAAGGCTTGCAGTGCAGGCAATGGCGGCGGGGCCCCGTGCGTGCCACAGCGCCCCAACCACACACGCACGTCGTTCTGGCTGTGCTTTCCAGGCTAGAACAAAAGCTATCGACCTCCGACCTGAGCAGTCCACGCGGGCAGCTCCCCGGCCAGCATATAGGCAAGGGGCGGGCGCGGGGATCCCTACCAGGCTGCGTGGTGGGTGGCATGGCCGGGGCGGGCGCGGGCGCGGGCGGCGGGGCGGGCGGCGGGGTGGCCTTGACCTCGGCCTCCATGGGCGGCATCTGCTGCTGCGCCAGGCTGCTGACGAAGTCTTCGTGCTGCGTCTTCAGTGTCTGGATCTGCTGCTGGAAGGCCAGCTGCACGGGCTGCACCACCGACGAGTGCTCGCTGATGAGCGTGGCCTGTGGAGGAGCCGCTCAGCGCCGCACGGACGTGGCCACCGCCACATCCCCCGTGCTCGCTGGCCACTCCGGCGGCCGCTCACCTGGTACTGGCCCAGGCCGAGGGCCGGGCTCTGGAGCTGCTGGATGATGGAGTCATCGAAGTAGCCGTTTTTCTCCCAGAGCTGCAGGAGCTGTGTGAGGAGAGGCGTCAGGCCCTGCAGCCCCCCAGTCCCCCCACAGCCCCGGCCCCAGCCCAGCGGCCCCGTACCCGGGCAATCTTCTGCTGCTTGTCCTCCTCCACGGCCAGGAAGCTGGTGCAGTAGATGGGCACCACCACCTTCTGCAGCGCGGCCAGCAGCTCCCGGGCCTGCTTGCGCTGGCTGTGAGGGAGAGACCTTCCGCGCGTCAGGGCCCTGGACGGGACCCAGCCACGCGCCCGTTACCATCGTGGCTCCAGCCACGGCGCCCTCCGCCGCCTCGGGAGACACCCCCACCCCCTGCGGGCGATGCTGGCTCCCTGCGGCCCGCTCCCGGGGTGGCAGTGAGTGCCGGAGCCCGCCCTGGAGGGCACCGTGGCCAGCCTTCGCCCCCCACCGCGAGGGGACAGCGCGTGGGGCGTGGCGCTTGTCTGAGCTTCATTCTCAGCACCACAAAAACCAAAACAAGCCAGCAGCTCGGCGCGGGGCGGGCGCAGGGTGGGTGCGGGGCGGCCCGGCCTCTGGTGGGGTTGGGCGAGCTGAGGGGAGAGCTGCTGGCAGGTGGACGGCTGTGTGGTTAGAAAAGCAGGAGGGGAAGAGGGAAGGAAGTGGGGACCACGGGGCAGGAGATGGAGACTGCGTAGGTGTGTGTGGGGGGCAGCAGCCTGTGGGGCTCGGTGGGGGGGAGGCCTGGGGGGACGTGAGCAGCCGTGCGTGCGCACGCAGGGAGGACCCCGCCTCTCCACAGCCGGAGTCACCGCAGCCCGCGCAGAAGCTCACCCGGCTCAATCAAAGGCCACCGTGCCACCACACACGGGGACCGGGCGTGGCGAGGAGGGCCGAGGGGGCCAGGCGGCCTTGCCCACGCTCACCAGTGGTGCAGCACGTCGTTGATGAGGTAGATGAGGTGCAGCCGCAGCTCGAAGTGTGCCCCATCGGCTGTGATGCGGCTGCGCAGGTGGCCGGCCATCAGCTCGCAGTGCGGCGGCGACTTGGCATTGCTAAACATCCAGTTCTTCCCAGCCTGCGGGCGGAGGGCAGCGGGTGAGGGTGCCGCCCACGAGGCCCCACGCACGCATGCATGCCCGCCCGCGCGGTGGCGCTCACCGAGATGGCGTCCTTGGTGCACGTGTCGATGATGGGCTGCAGCAGGTTGTCGAACTCGTTCATGTCCAGTTGTGTCTCCTCCAGCAGCTTCTGCATCTGCTGCTCCACCGCGTGGGCCACGGCCGCCGTCACCTGCTCCTGGGGGACAAGGCACAGGGGTGGCATGAACGACCCCGTGGCCGTGTCCGGAGGGCGGGTGTGGGCCGGGGGCGGGGCTGCAGGCTGGGCACACCTGTCGGAGGGCCAGCAGGTGCTGCTCCTGCTGCTGCAGGTTCCACTGGCTCTGCTGGATGAGCTCGTCCACAGACGGGGCGCCCTGGGCGGGCGGGATGGGCGCAGCGGGTGCCGGCGGGGGCTGCGGCAGGGGCGGCAGGGCTGCGGCCGGCTCCAGCTCTGGCGCCTGCTGCTTGCAGAGCACTGGGGACACGAGCGACCAGGTGAAGACTCGCCACTCTTGGGTGCCCCGGACTGCTCTGTGTGTCCATGCAGAACGCAAGGCCAGCTCCAGCCCGGACCTTCACTCCCAGCCCCGCTCCCCTCCGAAAGCCAGGGAGCCCTGGCCACTCTGTCAGCGCGTCTGGGTGGCGGGACAGCGTGGCCATGGGAGCCATCTCCCCGCCCCTGTGCGTGCCCACAACCCCTGCCCCAGCTGCCTAAACCCTCCTCCCCTGCAGGCACCCAGGCTCTGGGCCCGGCTGGCTCGCCTGTGGCCCCGAGGGGCTGCTGTGCTCAGGGTCCACGTCCCGCTGGAGCCCCTGGAGCCTGTGGCCAAGCGGCCGCTCAGCAGGGGGAGCAGGGCATGTGCCTGTTCTGATGTGCAACCAGGTACCAGGGAAGGCCCAGCTGAAAAGGCAGCCGGCCTCCACTTCCGCCTCTGGTTCTGCCTGAGGCAGCTGGAAGCCGGCCCGCCCCAGGGGGCTCGTGTGGCCCACTCGGGGCCGAGGCGCCCCTCCCCGACACCCGCTCCTCTCACTTCTGCAGCCCTGCACCCCCTGGGAGGTTGCTAGCCTTTGGTCCACACTTGGGCCACCTCACAGCAGCCCTGCGCCACACCATGCTGCAGAGGATCGGAAACACGCCAAGCATGTTCTAGAAGGCAGACCTGCGCCTGCCTCCCCAGGCATCCACAATCTGTGCCCCCCCCACGCTGCAGCCTCACCTCCAGCCAAGCCGCTGCCCCCCCCTCTGCCCCGCCCCTCCTGAGCCTCTTCCCTGACCTGCAAGGCTCGGCTCCGGGTCCACCCAGCTAGCTCAGCAGCGCTGCTCCATCTGGACAAGGCGCCCCCAGACCCCGCACAGCCAGCCCCGGCTGGGGGGGGTGCAGGGAGAGGACCCCGGCTCAGCTCTTCCCAGGGCGCCATCCCACACAGCTTTCTGCTCAGCCTCGCTGTGCCCACACGTGGCAAGCCCGAGGAGTCCACTGAGTCTCACCGCCCTCCCCCGTCAACTCCATCCACACTGTTCTGCTGCCTAGCCTGCGCGGCAGCCCCACAGCACCGGGCTGCAAGAGCCATGCTGGACTCGGGACTGCGGGCTGACGGGCAGTCCTCTGGACACCTCACCCCACACAGACACGCAGGAAGAGCCCCGGCACTGACTGCCCCACACCCCGTCCTCTCTGCACACGCGGGGCTCCCGGCCTGCGGGGCCTCTCCAGGTTCTACAACTGCGTCCTCCACCCTGACGCTCTTCCAGGACCCGTTGTCTGGTCTACCCGCTTAGTGTGTGTGTAGTTCTGTGACTTGAACTCAGGACCCAGGAACCCACCTACATTTCTGCACAAGGCTGATGTTCTACCATCTGAGCCACAACTCTGCTCCTGACTAAACTCCAGGCAAGTCAGAAGTCAGAGTCTGATGGGTTTTCCTGCCTGACACACCTTCTAACTGAAGCGCTCCTCAGCCTGCCGACTAGATAGGAAGAGAGGCGGGAGCTTGCGGCACCGGGCTGTTTTGCCAACTTCTAAACTGGATGACTGCGGCGCAGGATGCGCGCTGCCGAGGCCCAGACAAGGCGCTGCAGGCCTCACCGGTTGCAGCTCCGCCACCGGCGCCTATGCAACAAGCCCCTGGCGCTCACCACTGCGGCCTGACAACACCGGTGGGTGGGTGGCGCGCCAGGCCCACGGCCACTCAGCAGCGACAGCCATTACTCCACGGGGGCCAGCGGCGGGGCGCGGCCCCACCCCGGCGTACAAGTCCTTTGGGTCTAGGCATCACAACCGCACAGAATCCTCCCTGGGCGCACGGCCCACGGCGGGGGCCGGCAGTTCCCCCAGACCCAAGCAACCGCCACCTTGTCGCTCCACAGAGCACCCGGCGCTTCCGAGGCCGCCGCGGGCGGAGGGCGGGCGCGGGACTCACGCTGCTGCTGCTCCAGCGCCAGCTTGCACTTGTAGTAGCTGTAGAACTCGCCCCCGAACAGGAACGAGAACTTGGGGTTGTCCTTCTGCTTCTCCATCGTCATCTTCTCAAACTCGGGCCCGTTGCGCGCCACGAATTGGGCGAGCTTGTCGATGACATTCCGGAGCTCCTGG